TCGATAAAGTTCAATGCCGTGCATGTTGTTTGACGTTCCTAACAGAACCCAACATGACTGCGGGGCACTGGCTATGCGCACGCACTGCTGGGCGTGCGGATGCTGTCTGCGTGCCTGCTGGGACTGCCGGCCGTGCCGTGCGCACGCTATGTGCGAGCAGGCACTACGGTCGGTCTTTCGCCGACCGTCCGGCAACTTTTTCCAGCAACCTTTATATGACTGATCGTAAAATGACTTGACTTGGCTAAATATACAAGAATTTCTCAGGACTTGTCGGTTAAATTTGAAATCACTCGGAGAGGGTTTATAGCATCTCTGAGGCCATTTTGCACAAAACTTCGGCCGAACGACATGATATTGACATGATCTAATTAACATGGACTTAAATAGATATAAAGAGGGTAAATAAATGTATACCCTTCAGTTTGGACGAGAATTACACGGTGGCTTGCGTGAGCTTGCACGGTGCGTTCGGTAGTGTATACTTGCTTCTCCTTGGCTTCGGCTTTCCTTAGCTATTTTTCTATAATTTTTCCTCTATTTTTCCTTACTATTTTCCCTCAGTTTATAGGTTGAAGTTGGGCTCGGTTGCATGAGAATGCATGGGGAGAATTTACATGCTCGGTTATTTAAAGGAATGGTAAAACCGTTGGGTAAACTTGGTCAAAGGAGGTGATGGATGAGGATTTTTCCCTTGATGACATGTGTCACGATCGTGTGTTGAGGTGGGGCGTGTTTGGCTTAGTCATTGCCTGATGTGGCACGCATGCACGGGCTTAGTCACCACCCGTGGCTTCGTGTGGTGCCATGTATACCAAGCAAGTTGGTGACTCACCATGGCAACTTGCTCCCAACTTCATCCCTTATCCTCACGGCAATTTGGAGGCTTAGGGTTTGGATTACTTAGGCTTGATCATGTTGCTTAGGGTAACATAAGCATGCTTAGTGGGCTTAACCGTGCGCATGCACGGCAGTATGCGCTATGCACGATTGCGTGCGCGCTACACGCACGACCATGCACATCGTGCGTGCGTGCATGTGTACCTTGTGTACATTCATGACGTAGCTTTGATTTTGACTGCGACTTAATTCCGAACATTCTTAACTTTTAATAATTAATCCCGATTAATAATATCCGTTTATAAAATAAACGGTTCGGAAATTAATTATCAACTTCGACTCGGTTAATAATTAACCGAATGAACTTTTCGACTTAAAGTCGAACTTATTTGCTGAAAATGAACGAGATTAATAAAAGAAAATACATCACTTTTATTAACAAGAAACTGGGTTATTACAACATCTCCCCTCTCAGTTCTACACGTTGATTTATTCGGTTAGAAAGGTGATCAATCTACTAACCCTAGGACAAGCACAACTCGCATAGATATGAGCAATTAAGAACAAGCAATTATTATTAAACCTAATCAATCATCCCCTATCCCTAGCGTATGGATTTAGCTACTCATATGGAATTTAACATCAACATTCATATTAGCCCAAGCCATCATCATCAACACACAATTGATAAAAGAAGAACTTACGATTAATGTAAATAGTTCAATGTCAAATCCACAAGCATCCAAATCCAAAGCAAGAAAATAGAGTTTTAATCTCTAAAATCCAATCAAATGAGAAAAAATATGAAACGAAATGAATTTATAGAGAGGAAAAGTGTAAAAACGAAGTCTGGAAGTTGAATTATGATCCCTAGGTCTAAATTCTTATGTAAAAATCCCGACCTCAAAATTCGCGCCGAGTAAGTCGCGAGTCGCGACTTCCACTTTTCTTAGGTCGCGAGTCGCTACATCTCGCGAGTCGCGCGTCGGCAAAAATCTTCAAAATCTGGGGAAAGTCGCGACTTGTCTCACGAGTCATGACTCCATCTCACGAGTCGCGACCTTGACTCGTGAGTCGCGACTCTTGCTCGCGAACTTTATCTTTAGCCTCTGTCGAACTCGCGAGTCGTGACCTTCTCGCAAGTCGCGACCATCTCGCGAGTCGCGACTTCACTCGCGAGTCGCGAGAAATTCTGGGCAGTCTTCAGTTCATTTTTTCGGTCCTTCCTTCAGCTTTCGGAGCTCCACGACGGGTATTCTTGGCATCACGGTCTCATCTCCAACAGTCTCGTCCTCGACCGGCACAACCTATCTCCTGAAAAAAAAAACACATAAAAACACGATGCAAAACACAGCAAAAAGATGCACAAAATGAAACTAATGAGAAAAACACAAAAACACAAAATTGGACCAAATAAACCACAAAAATCCTATAAATGGGAAAAATAAAAGGAAAATAAACCCAAAATAAAGACACAAAAATGGGACAAATAGGTCTCGCCCATGAAGGGTGTGATTCGCTTTGGGAAGAAGGGGAAGCTTAGACCACGTTATATTGGGCCATTCGAGATCCTTGCCTGAGTCGGGAACTTGGCTTATCAGCTGGCTTTACCACCTAGCTTGTCGGGAGTGCATGACGTGTTTCACGTCTCGATGTTGCGGAGATACGTGCATGATCCCGGTCATGTGGTGGACTTCGGCGAACTGCAGGTCGAGCGAGACCTTACCTACGAGGAGGTACCAGTAGCTATTTTGGACCAGAAGGTCCCTCAGTTGAGGAACCGGGCAGTGAGCTTGGTGAAGGTGCTTTGGAGCCGACATGACGAGTCGGAGGCGACTTGGGAAAAGGAGGCCGAGCTTCGGAGGCAATATCTGAACATTGAGTTCTGAATTCCCTTTGTATTTTATTGCTTTCTACAGATTTATTTTCGAATTCCGAGGACGGAATTCTTTGTAAGGTGGATAGACTGTAATACCCAGTTCGATTGTAGATTATTGGTGTTATTAAATAATATTATTGTGTGTATTATATATACATATTTATAATGTCCAGTTTTATTTCGCGTTGTCGCGTTTCCTTACCGAGCTTTGAGTTATTTTTTCGGCCCAATTGGATAAACATTTTTTAGCACAAATTGATATATGATTGGGCCCATCGTGATTAATTAAATTCTTGACCCAATTTGATATCCTGGCCCAATTTGAAGATGATATTTCTTGGCCCATTAAGAACTAATTTGATCCTACCTTCTCCTTCTTTCGCGTACGACCGAGTCTGCTACTCACGTTCAAAAATTTTGGTTTCGATTTGATAGCGAGATTTACTCGCACGTTCTCTCTAATGGCCCGTATAAACTGAACCCAAAAGCAACTTCATCAAATATATCTATCTCCTTCCCTCTCTGTTCAAAACGCGCACCTGCAAATTTTCGGCGAAACCTCCATTGTTTCTGGCGAAGACGCCTCATCCTTTCCCGGCGAACAACGGCGAGCTCACCACGACCACCTAAAGTTCGCCGCGCGTTCTCTTCTCGAGCAAGCATCGAAGCCGCCATCTCCAGCCAACGCCTTGATTTTTCCATCCGTCCATCTGCGAGCAGACCAGGGACAACATCTTCGCCCTCAGCCACATCCCAGCGGCCTCCACGAACAACAACCAATTCGAGAACCCTCTACCGTTTGCAGCAGCAGTCCGGTGGGTCCCGAGCTTTCGTCATACGTCCGTTTGATTTTCATTGACTCGTCCGATTCCCCGTCAAGCTTGTAGTTTCCCGAAGGAGGTTATTTATCGAACCTCCTCTTTATATTTATGTGTATATTCAATGAATATAATCGTACTTTTTGAATCGAATTCTAGTTAAGTGTTCGGTTTATTTATCGGTTCGTTCGTTGGATTGTGTTCGTGAATTATTCGTGGATTATCGAAACTCTCGTTTAACGTGTAAATCGAGTCTCGTTGCTGCTGTGATAAATTTGTGTGATTTCGGTGTCTCGTTTTGTCGTTTCGTAGCCTCGTTGTAATTTATTTCGGGTCGTCTTGTTCGTTGTTTTCAAATCATGTTTTTTACGTTTCGTATTTCCGAACAAACCCGGTTCAATTTTTTTTCAAAACTCTGAAAATATGTTATTTTTGATAATCTCTCGAACTTCGTTGTCGTTAGTTATGTTGTGGTCGAGTTCAGTAAATTTTTCTTTCAGTCTGATCGCACTTTTTAATTTCTGTAAAAATTTACACAGCTCTGTTCGGTTGTTTGCCCTATGTTCAATCTGACTTTAATTACAGACATTGGCTTAAATTCATTAAGTAACGTATTCATTTGATTTAGCACCCGGTCGTGTAGCGCAGTGACGTGCATGCCATTTGTTACCCGAGGTTTAGGGTTCGAACCCTGAGGGCCGCTTTCCCCTTTCTCTATTTTTTTTTCTTCTTTATTTATCAAATGTCAGCTTCAGGCGCGCGGGCCAGATGGCCCGACTTAACCCGTGCGCGGCCCAGTTACCTCACACCTGCTGGCCCGCGAGGCCCAATCCACCTTTTAAGGCAATTTTTATGTTTCGGAGCCCGTATTCGCACCGATTTCAATTTGAAAAATTATTTTCAAAGTAGAAAAATTTGAGAAAATTATTTTAAAGTCCAGAGACTCCAAATTAATTTTCCGAGTCCTATTATTGCAAAAATGAGAGAGTTCCAAGTCCACGAAAAATCCGATTAATACCCGTAAGTCTTAATTTTTATTAAGTTTGAGTTTTATTATAAATTCGAATAGTGAGATAGTTTACTGATAAATGATCTCACTTCAATATAGGTTTTTGAGGAGTCGAGCCTCATCCTACGTACTTA